GAACGCATGCCCGACGACTGGAATTTAAGTGTGCTCTGCCCAATCCACAAGAAAGGTGACCCCGCCATTCGCGCCAACTACCGCGGGATCAGCCTTCTAAGCATAGGTTACAAGGTCTTATCGAGCGTATTGTGTGAAAGACTGAAGCCCACCGTCAATGAACTGATTGGGCCTTATCAGTGTGGCTTTAGACCTGGCAAATCCACCATAGACCAGGTATTCACAATACGCCAAATCTTGGAAAAGACCCGCGAGAAAAGGATCGACACTCACCACCTATTTGTCGACTTTAAAGCCGCCTTTGACAGCACTAAAAGGAGTTGCCTATACGCCGCTATGTCTGAATTTGGCATCCCCTCAAAACTCATACGGCTGTGTAAAATGACGTTGAGCAATACCACCAGCTCCGTCAGAATTGGAAAAGACCTCTCCGAGCCGTTCGCCACAAAACGGGGTTTCAGACAGGGCGACTCCCTTTCATGTGACTTCTTTAATCTGATGTTGGAGAAGATAATAAGAGCTGCAGAACTGAACCGCTCAGGAACAATTTACTACAAGAGCGTGCAATTGCTGGCTTATGCCGATGACATCGACATCATCGGTAACAAAAACCGCGAAGTCTGTTCTGCCTTTTCCAAGTTGGATAGGGAAGCAAAGCGCATGGGTCTGGTGGTAAACGAGGACAAGACGAAGTATCTCCTGTCATCAAACAAACAGTCAGCACATTCGCGCCTTGGCACCCACGTCACTGTTGACAGTTACAATTTCGAGAAAGTAGAGAATTTCGTTTACTTGGGAACCAGCATTAACACCGATAATAATGTCAGCATTGAAATCCAACGTAGAATCACTCTTGCCAACAAGTGCTACTTTGGACTGAGTAGGCAATTCAGGAGTAAAGTCCTCTCTCGACGTACGAAAACCACGCTCTATAAGTCACTCATCATGCCCGTGCTGGTATATGGCGCAGAAGCATGGACAATGACAACATCCGATGAGGCGGCTCTTGGAGTGTTTGAGAGAAAGATTTTGCGGAAGATTTACGGGCCTTTACGCGTTGGCGACGGCGAGTACCGCAGACGATGGAACGATGAGCTGTATGAGCTTTACAACGATATGGACATAGTGCAGCGAATTAAAATACAGCGGCTCCGCTGGCTTGGTCATGTCGTTCGAATGGACACCGACGCTCCAGCTCTGAAAGTATTCAACTCGGAACCCGCTGGTGGTAGCAGAGGAAGAGGGAGGCCCCCACTGCGATGGAAAGATCAGGTGGAGAAGGACTTGGCTTCACTTGGCGTTTCCAATTGGCGTCAGTTGGCACAGAGGAGAAACGACTGGCGTGCTTTGCTGAACTCGGCCAAAATCGCTTAGGCGGTTACAGCGCCAAAAAAGAAGAAGAAGAAGACCACAAGCGACAATTTTCTGCAACTTCCTGAAGTAAAAGTTGGAGAGCTAAAAAAACGCAACAGTTAAGAGCACAATACACACCCACATCTACGCATCTATGTTTGTTTATACATACAGATGTATGTAAGTAGTATGCACTTGAGTGTAAATTTTCAAAGAGTACTAACGAGGAAATTTCTTTCAGTTTGGTATGACTACATCAGTGTTGCCACATAGGAGCTTTTCCAACCAAAACTGGTAGTTTTTTTTTCATTTGGTCGGTTGGTAGACTAGATTGGATTTTCGTAGGTTCCGTGATAATTAGTAATAGTTGTTTGCGAAAAATAGAAAATGTGTGTCTCCAAACATTTTAGCAACCTTATTTACACAAATATTACACTGCAGAACTACTTAGGAGCTGGGAAGAATCTCCCACTGGCAGGAGTTATGAACTCTTCCTGGCTACTTCGACAGCATACTGCAAGTTCAGGTACCATTTGAATCAAATGGGGCTTTCTGTAGAGATGGACTGTAGGTTTTGTGTTGTCTGGTGGTGGCCACCCCAGAGTATATTCTATGTGCCTGCCCACGAAATATGAATCGCAGACTGATACACCTTGAAGAACGATTGTCTTCTCCATCTAAAATTTGGAATATGGTACCGTACAAGGTGCTTAGATTTTTGAATAGCCTAAGGTTAGAGTGATTACAATTACACCCAGAAAAAAGTAACCTGGGTTTTTCAAACAGCGTCATTTTTTGTGTTTTTTTTTTATGTTAGCGATTCGAAATTTTTGAACCCTAAAACCCACCCCTTGAGTGCGCTAATCCTAAGTGCTCATATTTACTCAACGTTAAACACTTTGTGTGTAGCTTTTCTCTACGTGACAAATTTGGTATGTAAAAGTAAACAGACAGTGTTTAATTTTTTACAGACTGGGAGAGGAAACTGGTTACTTTACTGGTTATTTTTTTAGAGGAAATTTTAATTTTAAACATTTTATGTGTAAACTGTGAAATTGTGAACAATAAATGTTTAGAACTCAAAAAACAAACTTGAAATTTTTTCTACGCCACTCATATGATAAGTAAATGACGTAACGTAGACGTAGGTTGACGCAGACACGATCTACCTTATGGGATTCGCGTGCTAACGAAAACTCACCACCGCATGGCGGTGACATTGGCGTTGCTTCTCTCTCTCTCTTTCAACAGTATATTTGATATGCTGCTACGTACGTCAACCTACGTTTACGCTATGTCGTTGACTAACTGCGCTTTTAGGATCCAGTATAAACACCACCAATAATGGCAGTCTGGAGATAAAGCGAAGAATAACTCTTGCCGACAGGTGCTACTTTGGGCTCGGTAGGCAATTTAAAAAAAGAGCCCTCTCTCGACGAACAAAAATTACGCTTTACAAATCTCACATCATTTTATATGGCGCAGAAACATGGACGATGTCGAACGAAGATGAGAAGGCTTTGAGAGAATTATTCTTCGCAAGATCTATGGCCCCGCTGCGCTGGCTTGGACATGTTGTACGCATGGAAAACGACGCTCCGGGGAAGAAATCCTTCGACTCCGCACCCATGGGTGGACAACGAAAGCAAGGGCGCCCACGAACACAGTGGAAGGACCAAGTGCAGAAGGACCTGTCCGCACTTAGGATGAACAACTGGCGCAAATCTGCAAACGAGGGAGGCAACTGGCGAAGTTTTATGTTCTCGGCCTAAACCGACAAACGGTTGCAGTGCCAAATAAGAAGAAGAAGAATGTAAATATATTTAAGTTTTTTCCAATACACATTCTTTTTTTCGGAGTTTCCGGCGAGAATTTTCGTACCAAGTTTGAAAAAAAAGTAATTTTTGTTCGTTTGTTCATCATTCCTCATTCTCTCCACACATGTATAGTATCTGGATATGTATATTTAATTTTAGAAATAATCATTGGCTACTGTGCATACTTGTGTGTATCAATCAGGGACAGTAACGGTTATGATCTTTATAATAAAAATCATAATTTAATCGTTAAAATTGGATTTCTATTTTTCTATTTTTATTTTATTTCTATTTGTTCGATCCAGAATACTCGCTATTTTTTATTTTTATTTTTTCGATAATATTAGCTGCGTTCCCTAACTCGCAAGAAGTTGCAAGAATTTACAGGAATTTACCAGAAAGCGTTTCCGTACTCGATACTCTGGCAAAGTAGGGGAAAAATGGGAGAGTAACATCGGTACTCTCTTGGCCAGAAGTTGCAAAATTTTACTCGAAGAATTTTTGCTGGTAAAATCTGGTAAAGTGTCAATCCATCAGCTGTTCAATGTTGTCAAATTGATATCGTAGCGAAGAAATATCAATTTTTGTAATTATTTTTGTTAATTTGCTTGTGTATTTGCTTATAATTTAGCAGATCGCCAAATGATAAAAAAAACAGCTATGTAAACAAAAAATGGCGTCCACGGTGTATTTGACGGTTTTACCAGTTTTTTACCGGAAAAGCGTTCCCGTACTTTTTGGGTTTACTCTCTTTTTGGCAGTTTTACTGGTAAAAATATAAATCCAAAATAACGGTTATTTTTATCAAAAAAAATTCTTATCACAAAATAACTATTAAATTTCATTGAAAAAATAAAATCAAAATTTAACCATTTTGGAATCAAAATTTAACCATTTGGAAAGAACTTTAGCGCTCATATTTAATACAAAACATGGTATATACATATTATATAATATTAGCACAACAAAAAAGGAATCCCGGCATAATTCTTCCGCTATTGTCTTTTAGTACATACACAATTAGTATACGCGTAGGTGTATGTGAACATAAATAATTGAAATTGTGCAATAAATATTTAAGTATGTACATACTTTTGTATGTTTGTATAGGATGTGATCATGCAAACGATGATCAAACAACAGCACGGATTTCCCAAATAGAGTATATCTATCTACACATGTATGTACATTGGGGTGGTCCCAAACAAGTAAAGTCGGAATTTTAATACTTAAGATTTTTTATTTTTTCCACCATTACGATTTCTAGAAAATATAGTTTCCAAGAAAAAATGGTTAAATAAATAATTTGGTAATATTATTGGGAATCTCCTGAATAGGAGCAAAGTTTTCCCGGTCGAAAAATATTGGTTTTCAAGAATTCTATACCATTTCTACGAAAAGTTTTTTTCCTCCATATAAAATACATGGAAAATTTTGAGCGCTTTGAGCAACCTCTAAAAATATTTTTGATTTCAAAATAAAAAATAGGGGTAAATTTTTTTCTGTGTAGAACAATCCTAAGGAGAGAGGGCATAAAAATTTCGAATTTACTTTTTCCCCCCAAATACGTTTTTGGACCACCATAATGTACATACATACATACATACATATGTTACCAGCCCGCTTTCTTTCTCCGCTTATCAGTGCTAGCGGTTGCCTTTAGACACACCGCGCAGTGAATTCTACACGCTGCAAAATTCACAAAAAAATCACCTTTGTGAGTCCCCTACGATTGGGTACATGGGTGATCCCAGACTCTTATGGGCGTGCGCTATCAGCAGCATGTCAAGAAACTATAATCGCATCGCGCAGAGTATAAAACTCAGCTACCTAACTGAATTCAGTATCATAACTCAAAAGCCTTTGCAGTAGCAGTACAACAGCCATAGTAGCGCAATCACTAAATTATTACCAGCAAACATCCGAAACAATCAATTCAATATGAAGACAATCGTACTTTTCGCTGGACTCATCTGTGCTTTCTGCCTCTTCCATGCCACCAATGCAGCGCCAGCTGGTACAACTGCTCTGGAGCTAGAGCCGGAATTCGACCAATTGGCCGTACTCAATGAGGAGTCTGTGTCTGAGTTGAGTCGCCAAAAGCGCGCCACATGCGATCTACTTAGTGGCACTGGCGCTAATCACAGCGCTTGTGCGGCCCATTGCATACTTCGCGGCAATCGTGGCGGTTATTGCAACGGTCGCGCTGTTTGCGTCTGTCGTAACTGAAAAGAGCGAGGTGAAATATAAACCAGTGGGAGAAACTTATACGCTTATTTTTTGAAAATACAATTTGAAATATGTATATATGTATGTATAAGAATGTACGCTTGAAAAAAATATTAAAATTAAATTTAAAAAAAATTTACTTTATACCCAAAATATATGTATAGAAGTCATAAGTATTGGAATTGAAGGCCTTTCTCTATAAAAAGTTTCGTTCAGATACCCAGCAAAGGCTGTTCTCTCTGGATGTGAATTTCTGGATAGTACTTGGTAGGAAATCTGAAGAAGTACTAAACTCTTTGACTTATTATTAATAAATTGCTAAAACTCTCGAAATATGCAGACAAGTATCAATACATCCCAAAAGCCTTAAAAATCCCGGGAAATTCAAGAAAGTTTCAACATATCCCGAAAACCTGAAGAAAATTTAAAAACTTTAGAGAAGGATTAAAAGGTCTTGAAAGTTTCGAAAAGATCCAACGATATCTGAAAAGTGAAAATTGTCAACAGATATCGCGAGACTCAAAAAGTTCCCACTATCTGAGAAATGTCTTACTGGATCTCGACATTCCAAAAGTATAACATTCTAAAAGTATAAGTATAAGTATAAGTAAAAGATAATCAAAAGTAATGATGATTGTTGATAAATCGCTGATTCTGAAGAAATATCCCTAAAAATACTGAAGAATACTTAATAATGCCGGAACTCCTAAAAATCGCGGAAAGTCCGGCTGTAACCAGATCATAACGCTTCACGGTGGTCTGAGGGTGGCAGAAAGTACAAGTTTCGAAATATACTATATATATAGTACTTACTACCACGTAATAACCCTTAAATGCTTGTTCACCAAAAACTTGAATGAAAATGCTTAATGAATAGGCACTTCTTGAACAGAAGACATTAGGGTGGTCTAAAATAAGTAAAGTCGGAAATATACCCCTATTTTTTTATTTTGAAATCAAAAAATATTTAGAGGTCGCTCAAATCGCTCAAAGTTTTTCATGTATTTTATATGGGGAAAAAAACTTTTCGCGGAAATGTTATGGACTTATTGAAAATCAATATTTTTCGATCGGAAAACTCTGGTTCCGTTCAGGAGACTTCCAATAACAATAACCAATTGTTTATTTAACCATTGTTTAAGACTAATAATTTTTTTTTTTATCCCCCATTGTATTTTCTGCCATTTTCTAGAAGTTTTGGCGAACCTATAAACTAAAAAAATAATTGGGTATTATTATTGGGAATCTGTCTTGAAATACCCGATATCGCATATTTATAAGGCTACATAAATATATGTATCGCTCATTTCCTGGAAGAACGTCATAAATCAAGAAAATAATAAATACAAGTTTATGGTGCGCGTGAATGTGTGTGGCTCGTATCCATAGCAGACTACATACATATTTAATAGGCCTGACGAGTGATCTATTTTCAAATTTAATTTCAAGGTGTATAACACCCGCATGTCGATAATTTTAAGTATAGTACTATGTATGTAGTCACATACCTCTTGGACTTTGTTGGTAGTGAAAATTTGTTTATTTTTAATGTGATTTAACAATGTGACCGTGCGCTCTTACACGCACATACATAAAGTAGGAAAATTAAATCTAGGCCGCTAAAGACCGTTGGCGTCAACAAACAAATATTATTGTAAATTACTAAAATATTAAGTCGTACGCAGATTTGACAGTTTAGCAGTCAAGTGTTTTGGCAGCTCTTAATATGTTCGTACCGGCATACTTAAATACATACGGGTATCTGTACATATTTACATATGCATTATCTATCTATGCATTAGGGTGCCTCACTAAAAAAAAAAGTTGCACTTTTCGTACCGGATTTCTAAACTTTATTATATTTTAAGACTTCCGCCAATATATTTCTGCAAAATATTAAAATTTACACGAGCTGAACCTATTTGAAAATACCTCAAAAATCTCAACATTTTGATTCATTTAATACAATTTTTAAACATTTTACTGTTAAGACCTTTTCAGCTTAAATTCTTTAACGTCTGAATAAAATTTTTAAAAAATTTTCCGTTAAGACCTTTTCAGCTTAAATTCTTTAACGTCTGAGGTCATTTTTATATTTTTTTAAATATAAAAAAAATAATAGTTTTTTTTTGTATGGGTGGTGATGCCCCCTAATGTACATATGTATATATGTAAGTCTTTGTTTAACTCTGCGACCACTTGCGCCCCCTTATCCAACTAAAAATATTTGGCGCGTTGTTCGCATTTTGCACGCATGTACACCTTGGTACGCCCACGCGTACATATTTAAGAAATGCGCGGTAATCGTAAAATAATATTTCAACGTCAATAAGCCAAATGTGACAACAGTGTCAGTAATTCTGTTGACAAATTGTTTGAACATTTTAAAGATATTGAATTGTTAGAAAAAATTTAAATTTGAACTAAAACAAAAAACATCTATACGAGATGATTTCGAAATGGTCCCTTGGAGGCCTTTAATATGCCTCTGTTCTACTAATCTTAAAGTTAAACTAATGCTACACTGTGAAACTGGCTTAACTTTTTGCAGCGGCCTGTCAAGTAGCCAGCGAGAGTTATATTATTGCTTTCCCAGCTCAGATTCAAAGTCGTTCGGAATTTCCTCGGGAGGCAGTTTTGAATAGCTTACATTGCCCTTGTCCCTTCGTCATTCGCCACTAGGCTGCAATTTAAGAAATATATAGTTGGCATCCCTTTAGCGGAGCTTAGAAGAGCTGTGGACCTCTCGATATTAAGACTCTAATGGCGTGGAACCCTCCATTAGGTGCCCTAGTTGTGTATACCTAATTGTTTTAATGATTATTTTGAATAATCTAGGGCTTTTAGTTTTGCCTGCCTCGCCGACATGATATTTATTTTGACCCTTTATTCTTTCTAGGAAAACATTCAAGGGCGCAGAATTCAATTGCAAATATCTCCGGTAGAAAAAGTGCCTCTTTCTGGAACAATTACCTTCTATGGCTTACTTACAGATACTATATAATAATTTGGTAGTAGCTAATGTTAGCTGTTAGCCCTCTGCTACCTCCTTCACTTTGCCAAAAAGCGTGCGTGCTTTCAACATATTAACGCCGTTGTCCTTTAGCACAATGAACAAACTCCTTAATATCTTTTCGCGCTTCACAGACCTCGCGTGAACTCTCGACGCGGCGTTTCTTCTGAAAATACTTCTTCGTCATCAAGTTGGTCTACTTTTACAGCAAGGTCTGATCTCAATCGAACGTCTTCAGCACTGATCCGTCTTCGTCTACCTTCTTTGCTAACACAAAAGGTTTCAAAAATTACTATTTTTCTAGTGCCACAGTCCACGTAAAAATATCACATCTCTTTATCATCATTTTTTATATAGACAATAGTCAAATGATTAACCACATTATTAGAAATATAGATTTGATAGAAGTTGTGCACTGCGACCTTGAGCCTATTGTGCCCTCAGAGCTTATGACAGAACCTCTTCCAACGCTAGTTTCGAGGGCGGCAGAGAGTGAATGTGTGTAGCCTTCGGTCACAACCCTCCGAGGTGTGTTATTAATCTTCTCGCAACCGCACCCCACTCTAAAAGGAGATTCAATGGGGTTTCTGCTGTCATGTCACAGTTGCGATAGGAGCAGTCTGCACTGATCCCCAGGATTTTTATATGGGCCCGCAGCCGTGGCTTGTTAGATGTCGTTTTATAATTCTTAGTTTCGCCTTTTCAAGGGCGATTACCTCTTGTTGTTGTAACATTCCAAAAGTTCTTTCGCCTGTCTTACTCCAGGTGTACTCGCCCAATATTCCCCTCTGAGCCTTTACTCTTAACTTTATCCTGATGCTATTAAGTCCCTCTTGCAAGTATAACTCTCCCGAGGATATTGCTTTAGGTGCGCCCTGGCCGTAGCTAGAGATGGCAATATGCTGTCTCCTTAGATACCTCCGTAAAATTAATACCGCGCATGGCATAAACCTCCGCTTGGTAATTGCTATCGTAATTTCCCTAGGAAGTGGAGAATTTACCCTTTGAGCCATATATTACTACCCCTTTGCCTCCGCTTGGCTCGAGCCATCTTCAAACAAATTTTGGCTGTATGGCCAAAAGTGTTGTCTAAAATTATCTCGTTCCAGGTCGCTTTGCTACCAAGTTAGAACTTGAACCTGAACCGTTGAAGCTTGGAAAGCGATCAACTCACTGTACTGAGCGCGGTCCTATCGGACCAAGCCACCACTCTATATTTAACTATTATATAGAGCTTTTTTGAACCGAATGCTGAAATAGGGCGTTCTTCAATCAAATTCTAAAATAAGACGTTCTTGAAGACTTTTCTGATATAGGACGTTTTCAAACTGGCTTCCGATATAGGTCGATCTTCCACTTAGCCGTTAATATGTAGTTCATTCAGAAAACTGTATGTCGTTGAATTCTTTCAGTAACTATTTCATATTAAATAATGTTTTTTTTTACAGTGTTTAAAGTTATAACACCCACACTACCTATGAGCGAAACGGCAACTGTGGCGAGAGGGAGTTTGGAATCCGCCCTTGAAAAAAGCCCAGAAAAGGAAGAAAGGTGAACGCAGTAATAACGACATCGAAGAGAACAACCACGCCGCGTTAAAGCTACGACAGCCACGCGCTATTTCAGACAAATTCGCAGTAATTACGGCTGATAGTATCAATTTCCAATTGTAGCGCCGCTCAGTTGCATTACTCTGCCATCAAAATGATTCGTGATGTCTCCAGCTCGACACTTGGTCGAGAGGAAGAACGCAAGCCGCTTATGGCAGCGTATATGTTCCAACGCCGCGTACTGCTCGGTTGCAGCGTGCTAATGGTGCTCTCGCTAATCATGTGGATTGTGGCGATTTCGACAGATCATTGGGTGATTATTACGGGTGGTAAAGGTAAGCAAAATGACAGCAAATATTTATGTACATTCATTCTTAGGAAAATATTGTTAGATATTTGTTTACATAAGTGCACGTACATATACATATGTATGTGCATATATAAATGTACATATGTATGTGTGCATTTGAGCTGGACATTGCCAATAAAAACAAATTGCATTTATTTGTTTTAATAACAGCTCATAAAGACACCCACCACACAAACACAAAAATGCCTTGACGAATTTGCAAATTTTTGAGAATGCATTTTAAATAATTTCGTTATTATCTTTGTTGCGATATTATTGTGTATTAAATTTGCGTTTTGCATTTGCATATTTCTTTTAAAAATTTTCTAAAATTTCGGAATTATGCTCGACAAGTGTACAAACTGAGAAATGGGCTGTACAAAGCAAAAATCACAATTTTATGATGAGCGGTCGGCGCTAGAGAATTTTAATAGTATATTTTCGTAAATATTTACATATAGTAAGAGCGCTTTATGACAGTATTGCGCCACCGCATCCGCCGAAGCGTAGACTTCCGGGTTTGGTTGCGCCTTTGTACTTGGTTTTTAAAATTACTTTGTATATACATCTTTTTCGGTTAGTAGTTTTGCTAAGCATAGCTAATTAGCTACATAATTTAGATGTTTGTATTGAATGTCTGATTTAATTTTCGATGGCGTAGTCCCGCAATCACAACAAACACACTAAATAATTTTATGAAAATTTTTCACCGAATGGATCGCTAAGTTATAAGAATGTTTTTTTTTTTTTAATTTTTTCCTTATTTTTTTATTTAATTTTATGAGGAGAAACCTACAGTTAAAAAGAAATGTGAAACTAGAGCAGCGCGACTTAAAAAAAAAATTCTTCGTAAACACTATATAGTAAAACATATGTATTTGTTCTCGTTAATTTGTGACCTAACAAGTTGTTTAGCAAGCTCATTCATTCGATTTTCCTTATATTCCCTCCTAGGCATCTTCATACCGGAGACACGTCGTTTCTTCATGTACTCCCACTCCGGCTTGTGGCGCCATTGTCGCTACACCACCACGCCCAATGCCCTGCCTACCGCCAATGTGGTGCGTAACATTACCTCAATAGCTTATGTAAATCCCAGCACACTCATGGATGCCAAACTAAATGCTTCGAGTTTAGATTTTGTACGTGAATTTAGCGAAGAAATTGTAGAAATGCCAATGAAGAACTTCACAGAGTCCGCCAGGCGACGTATGTTTGCGCATTGGGTACGCAATGATGAGCTCGAATTTCAAACGTTCAAGAAGGCCTTTCAAACTCTTGTGCTGAATACAAATGCAACACGAGCAGAAATAATACCAGCACAGGCTAAGCCAATAGCAATTGATCCGCTCAATGTGCGCGATATAGAAGCACGACAAACATTTGGAACAGCCTTGCAAAAAGTGGTAGTCAATTCGACATCGTACTACTTTGTCATACCTGAAGCAGCGCAATTGGCCATATTTCAAGGTTGGAATGAGCGGCAATATGTACCGAAACTATTTTGGCCATATGTGCGCGATTTAGGCGTGCCGGCGTTTGTGTTGAACGATCATCAGGTGATATTGCAATTGGTGCCGCCACTGCCACCAAGCCACGGTCGCGAGTCGAATGGTTATGTATACCAACCAACTGGTTAGTTGCAAATATGTAGTTAACTAAAAGATTCATTGAAAAAACTCACCGCTTTATATTTTAGAGCGTTGCAAATACATAGATATGTTTCCCAATTCCAATGCGCTGCGTAGTGACCCCGGCATTGATGACGAGCTGATGGGTAAAGACATATTAATTTAGCACTAGTTTCACACTTTGATTCACAATTAAACTCGCACTTTTTACAGATTATATACGCACGCAGGCTTCTTTTGCCTGTATCACCGTTTTCGTAATGGGTTTGGGCTCGATTTTCTCATTTTACACTTTTAAGAATCCGCGTTATATGTTCAAGCGCCTGGCAGGCGGCATTGATTTGGTGTCAGCCTCCACTGCTGTGGTTGTTATACAAGTTTTAATATCTTCCGTAGATTACACTAGAACACACTTATTTTATGCGTATCCCGATGGAGCGAAACTAACGTAAGTATTTTTAATTGATAATTTTAACATTTTCACCACTTCAATATTTGCACAAACTTCAGAATAATTTTCACAATTGCGCGCGTAACGGTATGCTTCCGCTTCCGATAGCTGGAACGAAATTTATTTACCGTTTCGTTTACAAGTTGTTCCGCGAGTAGTGATGCCACATTTTTTTGATGCGTGCATTTTTTTACTGTAAATTGGAAATTTGTTATTTAAATAAAAAAAAACACGTTTAAAACAGCATAATTGTTTAAGAATAATATTTCTATAGTTATTATAAACCTTTTATAGCCTCCATAAGGAAATTTATATTTTTGCCTTAAATAGTAATTAATCGATTAATATTGTTTATTTTTTTACAAAATTTATTTTCATGCCATTTTTCCAATTTTTTTTTGCCATTCTGTTTTCAACATCTGTGCTTCTAATCGATAAAAGTTCGTAAAGAATGATAAACTACCGATATATACCTATCAGGGTTGTTGCGAATATTATTCCGAAATAAAAGTTCTTTCCGGATAATAAACAAACCGCTTATCCAAATTAAACAAGTTTGGTATCAAATGAAAGAGGATTTAAATAGCTTTAAAACTGAAATGTCTAAATGAAGAAAGCCACAAATAGTTAAATATTTCAATAAAAAATGTTATTTTATTATCATAAAATAAATCTTGTGTCAGGTATATGCATTTCTTTAGTACTAAATTATAAAAAAAATATAAATGTAGGTCGTTCGCTATTCCTGTTTAAAAGCTATTTCAGTCCTCTTTCATGTGATACCAAATTTGTTTAATTTGGACAAGCGGTTTGTTTATTAAGCGGAAAGGACTTTAATTTCGGAAAAATATTCGCAACAACCCTGATACCTATTGTAACAAAATTAATAGGGCTGTTGAGGATATTGTGCATATCGTCGCGTGGGTAAAAGATTGCCGCATGTTAATTTCGGCAGGCTGTGGGAAATCGCGATTAAGTTTGGAATGCAATTTCTCAAAAACGCGAGGATAGAATTTCTCCAAAGTCTCTGAAAATGTTACTAGTTCGCTAAATTCTTAAATTATTTAATTTTTGATGTTTATTGCTAAATAGTTTTGAGTTTATGAAGGATTTTATTTAATAAAATTTTGTCGTAAGCGTCATTTGTCTACAATTCGGCAGTCACATTGTATGAAATACGACAAAATGTGATCAAAATGTCTACTCAATTAACGCCACTTTATACTCAATATCTCGAAAACTAAAGAAGATGTCCAAAAATGGAGAACGCCATTTTTAAGATATTGATTAGTTTCACGATTGAGAGAATACAAAGGTTGCGCCGATCTCGGACCGCTATTCCTCTCTTTACGAGTTTGACAGAATCGTTGTTTGCATGACGTCACACTTGTGCAACTTGTTTACGTTTTCTTTGCAACATTTTTTCTTCTTCCATTCTTGCTCACGTTTTGGCATTTCTCTCTCGCAATTGCACCAGTGTGACGTCACACAAAAGTTATTCTCAAAAATCCTCTCTGATCGGCGCAATCTTGTATTCTATCATTCTTGGATTAGTTTAATAGGACTGCATCACTAACTAAATTTTTACTAATTTATCGAAAATTTTTTTTGTCAATATCTCGGAAACTAAATTAGATATCTAAAAACAGATAACACCAGTCGAAAGACCTTATTTCAAAATATATAACTGCATCTATACATCTATAACTAAAAATCGTCAAAATTGCGCTTACGACAATCTCTTACCCAGGCGACGATATGCTCTTGGATTTGCATATTCGTTGCTTCTGTGCAGCAAGCAAAGAATTTGTAAATGCAATTTCAACTGCAAATCCAAGACCATTTGCACAACATCCTACAGCAGCCCTAATATGTGAAAAATTATATATCGGATTGGAAATAACCAGGCTCGATAAAGGCTATGATATTAATAATAAAAATTATAATTTGGATTTGGACTTTTTCGATCTAATTTGATCGTTTTTCAAGGATTTTAATTTTTGCGATCAAGAATAATAGATATTTTTGGGATTTTTATTTTCTCAATCCTGATATAACATTCACTTTTAGACTATATTTTTTAGATAACAAAAGATTTTGATCTGTGATAAAAACTTCCCCATTAAAACGGTTAAAAATTATCGAAAAAATTTTAAAATTCAAAATAACGATTATTTTAAGAGACATATTAGAGACAGTTATAAGTTTTATCGAAAAAAGTTATTAGATGGGAAATATTTTCCATTTCACCGATAAGAGTTATAACCCAACGTTTACTTTATACGTTGCCTGATAACAGTTACGCCGGAGATATATGTATGTTTTCCCTCGCCAATAATAGTCAGTTCTCAACGTTTATTTTTTACCTTGCTTGATAACAGTTATAACCCAACATTTATTTTTACGTTGTCTGATAACAGTTTTTTCACTCCTCTTTTATTTTCATCATCGTTTTTATCTCCGTTTCTTATTTACAACGTTACAACGTGCCTACCGACATCATCGAAATTTGTTAGCTTATTATTTTAAAAACTCAATATCGCTTTAGTAAGCTCTTGATTATCTTCTTTTCAGATACGGCTATGGCGTCTACTTGGCTTGGTTTACTTTTATGGTGAACCTTGTGTGTGGTCTACTATTTATATGGTACTCCGGCAAAAAGAAGGGTGCTAAAGCACCAAACGATGAAGTAGCTATGGCTGATGAGCCCACCATTATGGGCAGATAATAAGCTTCACAGGATTTAGCCAACAGCTATGGTTGAACATAAAAACAAATGCCCACCGACTATCTGCGTACCTTATGATACTCACTTGTAGACTTCAAAATCAGAGCGTTTTCTTACGGAATACAATATCATTGATAGGTACTTATACCAGACATAATAGCAGTGTTATTCTAGCATAGAAGGCCCAGTCAAATATTAAATCGAATAAAATATCTAAAAACTTTATAATTAATTAGCAAAGTTCAACGATATTTAGAACTCGAAGCTAGTCAGAACTTTTTTGGGATTAATACAAGTTTTCTAGTTCCTATATGGCTAATGTGTAAATCTATTAAATAAAGAGAGAAGCAATTTTGCATACATAGGTATGTACACATAAATATATGTATGTAATGTATGTATGTACGTACATATATAAATCTATGAGCAATCAAATCGAAATTAAAAAGTCACTATTTTTTAAACACTCAGTAAATGTACAATTTTCATCGTAAGTTATGCTTGGATGTACACATCTCAATAAAGCACATTAGTAAATATCTATGGCCATAAGCAATAACCGCTTAAGTCGACTTAATAAAGAATTAAGTTATATATGCTATCGTATTCTGCAACTACTATTCCATGTGTATGTGAAATCCCCATCTCGGCAGCTAGGCTATTCAAAAAATTATAGACGAACATACTATGGTTTCCCCATAAGGTTAAAATTACAATCCAAATATTTGAAGCACTTTTTTCGAATTCAGGTTCTTCGACTTAGGCGGTTATTGCTTATGACCACATATAATGTGCTTATATGTTTGTATGTATAAATGTTTTATTCACTTTAAACTTGTTCACTGTTGAATTAAATTTTTAAGCAAAAACAGCTGTTATACAAATTTAAATGAAAGAAGTTTTCGCCAGATGTAAGGCTTAAGACTTAAAACTATTTTTCTAAGGTAGACAGCTATACGAAAATAAGTTTTTCCTATTGCCTTTTTCTATTTATAATAAAGACTTTATTCATAAAAGAATAATATATTTTATTTTATTTTCATATTGCTTTGTACTTCAGCGGTAAGTATTTTAGAACTGGTTAATTTATATTATTAAAAGACAGTTTCAGGAAAGCAATTCAAGTAATAAGTTATTATTTTTTTACTTGAATTTAATTCGAAAACTGACAGAAAGAAGAATATCATTTTGGACTTATGTATATAAATTGCTGATGAAACGAACAATAGGTGACAGATTTGCGGAACTTAGTGAGAAGTCATGTCCGTTCGCAAATCTATAATATATTTATGTAATTTCTGACTAAACTGATCAAGTTAATGTATGCTAAATTTTCTGAGAACAATAAAGATTTTATACAAAGAACGAATAATAAAACACCAGTCACAGAAAATTGGGGATTTTTGTGAAATCTTCTACAACAACAATATGGCAATGATGGTTATGGCTGGCAAGCACAGGGTGTGTTGAAAAGTTCAATAAAATACAAGAGTAATTTTGATTTGAGCAGACGCTCTCATCGGGGCTTGTATGTATACTTAACTTAAACTTAGTAAAGATTTAATTATAAAACATTTAACCTTTTATTTATTAAAAATAACTTTTTTCTTTGAACTTGCGCATATCTCTTTACTTTCAGTACACTTAAGTAACCCTGTGTGGCCACGTCCGCAGCTGTCAATGACAGTCTGTCATTGCGATGACAGCTGAATTTCGTTTTTCAAAGGATGCAGTGAACGTGAAACGCGTGTTGTGCTGCATTTTGTGTGTTTTTTAGCACAAATTCTGAACGAAGCTATTTAAAACTTAAAAGAAAAGGTGAGCAATGAATTAAAATGTAGTTTTTTAAAGAAACTAAAGCAATTGCCATATTACATGCATGACTTGCTGGTGCGCTCAGGGCTTTGTTTTGCACTTTGCCATGTGATGCACCGAACGTGCGGCTGTAAATCAGAAATAAACCAGAAACAGAATGAAAGCTGCAAGCTTTCAGGTCGATGCACTTGAAATGTGTGAAGGCGGAATCTTTTTGTCTTCATAGAAATATGTATAGATTCACTTGTGAAAACTAAAATTACCAATGTGACGCAATAGCGACACTTCTGTTGGAAACTAAGTGCGTGCCCCCACCCCCGGAGCGGAGCGTGTACTCTCTGGTCAATAGAGATTACGTGCCTCAGTGCTGTTTTTATGCTTTAAAACTTGTTGCTTGTGTTCATTGTATTTTGTGTGCTTATCGTTTACAGACGAGCAAAGAGCTTTGAAAATGGTAGCTGATAAGGAAAATATAGCAAATGCTAGCGCCGCAGTTGAAGGCGAGGCGACTTCAAAAAAAGGAGCCAAAAAACAAGCGAAAGAGGCTTTAAAAGCCGCAAAGGTTAAACAAATTTATACAAAAAAAGTAAAGTTCATTGTATTCATAAAAATAATTAACAGAAAGCTGAGCAGAAGGCCGCAAGTTTGGCTAACACTGGCGAGGAGACTGGCGATGCTGTCGATGTGTCAGCCGGCCGCTATGGTTCTGCAGGACTTATTCAATCAAAAGAGAAATTTGAAGATCGCAATTTTGTAGCGGTTAATAAGTTAGCCGAGCAAGTAAGCAAAGAAGAACTTGTGTGGGTACGCGGACGTGTGCATACCTCCCGTTCGAAAGGCAAGCAATGTTTCTTGGTGCTACGTCAGCAGAGCAGTACGGTGCAAGGTATTTTGGCTGTGGGTGAACGTATTTCCAAACAAATGGTGAAATTCGCCGGCAAGTAAGTTTGACCATGTATTACATAAACACGTAAAAAGAAGCTTTCATTTATAACATACATTTTACAGCGTGAGTAAAGAGAGCATAATAGATGTCCAAGCGAAAATCGTTTCCGTGCCAAATAAGATAGAGTCTTGTACCGAACAAACAATTGAATTGAGTATCGAACAACTCTTCGTAGTGTCGCTGGCCAAACCGCAATTACCGCTGCAAATTGAAGATGCCTCTCGCCCCGACAACCCTGATGTAAGATGCGATTTGCAATTCCATTACCTCCGTAACTAAATATTCATTTTTAAAGGACCCTGAAGGTCTTAACATTCGTGTGAATCAAGATACTCGTTTAGATAATCGCGTTTTGGATTTACGCACTCCAGCAAATCAGGCAATTTTCCGTTTGGAGGCAGGGGTATGCCGTTTATTCCGTGATATTTTAACTGCAAAAGGATTTACGGAAATACATACACCGAAAATAATATCTGCCGCCAGTGAAGGTGGTGCAAACGTGTTTACTGTCAGCTACTTCAAGGGTGCGCAGACTGATTTTACTCGGTAAAATTCGTTGCTAATTAATTTGTTTATTCACAGATTCCGCATACTTGGCACAATCGCCCCAACTATACAAACAAATGGCAATTGCCGCTGACTTCGATAAAGTTTATACAGTCGGGGCAGTTTTTCGTGCGGAAGATTCCAATACTCATCGCCACTTGACGGAATTTGTTGGGCTGGATTTGGAAATGGCTTTCAAATATCATTACCATGAAGTGTTACATACCATTGCCGATACACTTACCGAGATTTTCAAGGGTTTACGCGACAATTACAGTCGTGAGATTGCGGCGGTAAATCAACAATTCAAAGCTGATCAATTCAAGTTCCTCGAACCGCCACTAATATTGGAATTCGCAGAGGGTGTGAAAATGTTGCGTGAAGCTGGTGTAGAAACGGGCGATGAAGAAGATTTGTCAACACCCAATGAAAAGTTGTTGGGTAGACTTGTAAAAGCTAAATACGATACCGATTTTTATGTTTTGGATAAATTTCCACTTGCGATACGACCCTTTTATACGATGCCGGATCCTAGCAACCCCATTTACTCAAACTCATACGATATGTTCATGCGTGGTGAGGAGATAATCTCTGGCGCGCAGCGTATACATGATCCCGATTTTCTAACTGAACGCGCCAAACATCATGGAATTGGTGAGTTTTTGTGAAACCAGATAATGGAGCGTTGCCCTTTACTAAAAATTGTTATTTCTCCAACAGATGTATCAAAGATAGCCGCATATATCGAATCGTTCCGCTTCGGCTGCCCACCACATGCAGGCGGTGGCATAGGTATGGAACGTGTTGTTATGCTTTATCTGGGGCTCGATAATATTCGAAAAACATCAATGTTCCCACGTGACCCTAAGAGATTAACGCCTTAAGGTGTTTGATGCTGGATTAACAAAAACAAAAGAATCGTGCAAAAGAATCCACTTAGTTTTTACAAATTGGTTTCAATCACTTTTTCCGCTCATTTTACTCTTTCGTATGTTTAGCCTTAATTCAATCGAAACACAAATTCTTTTACGGTTTTGATGTTGTCTTTGTTTAATTATCACTTACTTAATATCTACTTAAATATGTATGTAGTTATGCCTGCAGTTCCTTAACTGATTTATTTAGTATAAATGATGTCTGCATTTCGATTAAACATATATCGCTAGCTTAGAGTGAAAAGTTGTTAACTTCACTTTCTATGAAAAATCATATTTTGATACAGGAGGCTAGATAAATTAAAAATGTATCGTTTCGAAAAGGGTAAAGGTGTTTTATGTTTTCTCGTTTATATTCAATGAAAGGAACATTTGCTAAGTCCAAAAAAAGCTCCGAGAATTCGATAAGTCCAAAATAGTTCGAAATCTTTTAATAAAGATCGAATCCTGATTTGTATGGAGTTTTGCTTTGCTTTAAACAGGCAAAATAATGTATACAAATTATTGCGAAATACTTGAAGAAAATGGCTGTAAGAAGTTGTTTCCTCTCCTGTACAATTTTTAAATTGGGACTTAGCAACTTTGCGCTCTAAGCTAGCGATATGTATGTATGTACTACTAACGTAAAGTCTGAAATAAAGTAGATAGAAGACATCGTCACAAAATTGTATGCTAATATCTCTTTCAGTTGTATGCTCACGGTTCGGTTGTTGTTGTTGTTGTTGTAGCAGTGTTCAACACCCGAGGTTTCGTCATGAGTCATGGTCATGTCCTTGGTCTAGGTGGTGAAAAATAGGGCGGTTTAGTTAGACTGTATAATTGCAGTTTCAAAGGATGTACGTGATTCCATAAGTACAATATTTTTATATGGGCATTTCCAGGGGATGGTCTTTATTGTCAAAAATTAATGGCCTTATTCATTAAAAATAAAGTAGCTTTAAAAAGTTTTATAAACTGAAAAATGTATAGAAACGTCATTTTATAAAGCTCTTTAAACCTACTTTATTTTTTATGAATAAGGCCATAAAAGTTTAAAAAAATTATACATGTATCTATGTGAGTTATGGTCGAATCTGGTTTATTTTTTCAATGTAGGGTAAACGCACTAGT